CATACTCTGCCACTGAGCCCAGTTTATCCCTGTATCTGTGCTGGTGATCAATGTTTGATTAGAACCAGAGCCTCCTCCAGAAAACAGCCACTAATAATCTCTCTCAAAGAGGGGAGCTCCGGCTAGAATAGAATGTAAAACTAAATAAATAAACGCTGTTGAGATTTAAAAAGAGAGGCTGTGGTTGGCTAAATGATCGGGGACCACAGGCATGTACCAATTCAAATGATGGTGTCCTTTTCTATGTTTTTAAATGTTTAACAATTGGGAATGTAGGCCTACTGTGTTTACTGGAGATGATGATCGCATGTTAGAGCATTATAAAGTCAGTAATATTACCGAGGGCTTTAAGCAGTTTCATATTAAAACAATCCGACTTTGGTGTAAACAAAAACATTTAAAAATAACAACAAGCAAGCAATTATACATAGAAATATATTTGAAGTAAACCAGAGGAGGGAAAAGTAAACAAACCCAGTTAGCTTAGATTAGGCTAATGCTAATATTACAAAAGCAGAAGAAATTGAAAATTTGACAGCCACCATCAAATCTTCACACACCCAAAGTAAGCCTGTCTTAACCGCTAATGCACATGTGTTTTCAGTAAGCAACTGAAACACAACATGTCCACTTTACTTCCTTCATGGAAGTACTTGACATCTTCCCCCAAGATATTAAGCCTAATATAAAATAACCTCTGTGGAATATTGGCTTTTGTTAGGTACATTTTCTGCTTTTTTCTATTGGTGATTATTACATGCAGCAAAGGGCTTGACCCAAACTCGGTGCATGCTAGCCTCTAACGGGGTGGCTACAGAGGTGTCGTTTATTTGATTTGTAAGCATGAGTTTGCATAGACCACCGGCTGTTGTCAAATTACCTGTGGATGTACTACATGTGTTTCTTGAGGAAAGAGAGGGCAGATTGGAGAACTCAGTGTTGCTTGATTGTGCTTTTTCTAGCAAATTTGTCTATTTTTTATCAAATTGGGCTAGGAAAAATGGCATTTGGCTTACAGACAAAAATGTTGAGGCTTTGGTCAAATTGAAAATACCAAAACAATATAACCAAATTAACCAAACATATATAACCTGTATTTAATGGTAAAAAAAACACATAGAAATTCAATAAACTCCATTGTTTAACCACTCATATTATTGACTCATTGAATTAGAGAAATATTTGAATGACATGAGTTGTATTAAAACGTCATTAGGGATAAGGGAGGATGATCAGTGACGTGGTCATTTGTGTATTTGGCTGTCTGACAAACAGGATTAAAGCCAATGAGCAGAGAAGTCGTCTAAACAACTGGACTTAACTGCCCCTGTAGCTTCAGCTGGAAGATTCATTGCATTACATGAAATCATCTTCATATTCAACCACAAGACATGGCGTATAAACTTTGATGTAAACTGGCAGCGGCCAAACACCCCCATAAAACCAAGCCCCCAGGAAGTGCGCCGGACTCAGATGAAAATATTCGTGGTGGCCAAACGGCGGTACTGCACATCCGTTTGGTTGCCAGGCCCGGAAACACTTTTTCCCATTGACTTACATTGATTGATTGATTGATTGAAAAGTTTATTAACAGCTTGTATATTGGGTACAGTACAGTACAGCTCAAAACATACAATTGTTAAGGGGATGCAGACCAGAGAAAGACTTTCGTCTTGTTTACATCAGGGTCCCCCACATGGGGAAAGAGTGGTCTGTAAATCGTTGGATAATTTTTTTTTTAACTAAATAAACTACCCAGTATGAACACTTGTATAGCTCTTATTAAAAACATTCATTCCTCAAGTTGTAAAAATGTGCTAATAACGTTATTCTGAGAGTTATTTCCCTCTGCATTATGAACGTGCATCTAACCCACGGGACCGCGCCCCCCTGCACGTTCATGTTACGTGTTCAGCACTACATGCGTTTATCTATACCCATGGATGCACAATAACAACGGACCCATATCGCCTTTCTGCCAGCCCACGGAGCTGTAATAATGGATATATTGCACATGTTTGCTATAATTCATAATTTGTAAAATATTATACTACATGGGCTGTATGATGTCAATCTTGTACCGTAAATGTTGTATTAAATAAAGTTAATATTACCGACGTAGATTAACGTCCCTGTAGCTTCTTATTGCACTAAGAAGCTTATTGCACTGTGTGTGTATATATATTCTTTCACACACAGTGACGTCACGAGCTACCCACAATGCAACACGCGCCATATAAATATATATAAATGCGCCATTTTCCTGGAGGTGCTAATATCCTGGAAGTGCAAATATAAACAGCTAGCTAACTAGCCAGGCAGAGCGCAGTAGGTTTTTTTTCTGAATTAACGACCGAAGAAATCGCTGCATGTCTTCGGATTACATCTCTGGACTTGAGGGGTGTGCTTTAGGTCGTTACCAGCGTAAACTAGAGCTGTGTGGGTTGTTACAGACTGCCTGCAGATGTATGGAAAAACGACAGTGGCCTTCGTCGATTTTGGCTGCATCTACGTCTAATTTCTGGAAACACCAGGTGAATACCCCACTTGTCACAATAATATTATCATGCCATTGCATATATGTGATATTTTAGAGTTGACTAGATATTGATTAAGGCAATAGACTATGATATTCAGTACAGGAAGCTTAGCAACACCTAGACGGTGTACGACTGCTTGCACCTCGCGTAAAACGGCGCAGACCGGAAGTACGGTGTCGCGCTCGGCCCAATACCCGTATGTGTGTGTGAAAGAATACACAGTGCAATAATTATTTCATGCTAAATGAAGCTCTGTTGCTTGGATATCACTAGATCCTGTTACAACGTAATATAAGTAGGCTACATAACGATTGATGTGTACATTAGCATCATTACTAGCTAGCCGCTAGCTGCTAACTGCCGCCTCGTTAATATCAAATCCATGATAACAACAATCCATTACCATGCTGTCATGAACGCACGGTGCTGTTACGTGTACGCAAATTGACGTGCTTGATGTGAACGAGCATTTTGGTTAAAGTTGCGCATGCTCTATGAGCGCACATACGGGTACTTCTCAGGCATGCCGGGTAATCTGTGACGTTTCACTCTCTCAAAAGTTGGGCCATTTTATCATCATGCGCTAATGAGCAACTCTCATAGGAATGAATGAGGCCCCGCCTCCCACGCTGTATCCAGGGTTGCGTTCCGATCATCCAAAAATCAGCTCCTAAATTCTAACCCTATCTCCTATTCCTTGACCTCTGAGTGAAACGTCACGGGGTTAAGGGATAGTGGATAGGAGAATTCAAAAGGACTTAGGAGAAGAGACCGTACTTCAGAGAATCCGAATGCACTTTCACTATCTGACGTGTTTATGATGCGCCAGCGGACGTCATGAATGTGCGTCTGCTGCTGTGGGGAAACTATGGAAACTACAGTTAGCGGACTACAACATGGATGTTCAATAAGAACGAGGGACTACTGTAAACTCATCTAGAGACTCTGCACCGTGCTCTGATGCTGTTGCTTTATGCTTTATGAACGTGGACAACAGAGAAACATATTCTTCATGACCAAAGTTGGAATTGAAATAAAAAAGGAAAGTGAAACTTCTGCTCGTCACCCTCTCCCTCCGGTCCACATTAATACAAATGATCCCAATACGTATGATTGATGAACATATCTTAAAATCAATACAGATGTATTTATTATAAACGTTAGTCCTTAACATCTATCACTGTGTATATCACCATTCAAACATCTTTTAAAAGTTGAACAAACCCCACACAGCTCAGTAAAGACTGTGAAATGTTGACTTTATTTGATCATTTCAGTAAAAACTAACGTTCATATTTCTCTTTTTGATTATAATACTGATGAACGTTCAGAAAAAAGCACTTTGGCAACTTACCACATACGTTTTAAAATGCTTAATAAGCACCGTAACTTTCATGATATCATTTCTCCGTCATAATCGGTTGTTTCCGTGAACGGCCGACTGTTGAGTGACGGCAAATGCTGTGGCTGCAATGCATTGTGGGGCAGCATTTTCTCCTCTCCTTTCGGTTAGGGAGGTCCAGTGGTTCCTAAGCTAAAGGAGGTTATAAAGGAAGTTTGAAACCTCCTTTCCTTTCAATGGAGAATTGGAACGGCACTTATCATGGCTGCCAGTGAGGGACTTCCGGGTCATTTCACTCCGTTAGGAAGGTTCCTAAGCTAAATGGACTATTGGAATGCAACCCAGTTCTTATTATACATCCATGCATAAAACCCCCAGGTTCTTCTTCTTTAGGTTTAGAATTGCAGCTTGCAGGCTTATTGTTGCACTACTGCCCCCTTTTGGAGTAAATTAACTCTTGCCGTGTCCAGGGTGTCAGCTTTTCTCAGGAAGCTGACCAAGCATTTTCAGACATATCCAACACTATATAGTCGCTTCAATCCCGATCCCGGCGCTGCTGCCACTTTTATTGATTTCCTTTTCAACAAAGCAATTCTTTATACGAGTGATGGCCAACCATGGCAAAAAGAAAAGCTACTTTTATGTTATTGTCATCGTGTGTTGGCTTTGCACTTACAGCAGTTAATTGAGTTGCTTTAAGAGGACACGTAAGACTATAAATGGACAGGTTTTTGTTTCCCTTTGGCTTTGTTCAGTTCTGTATGTCAGCCGTCACCTTTTGCTTTTTTACTCAACAGCTTATCACAGTTAATAAAGCTAATGTAAGAAATGCATTTTAGAAACATGTTAATTATGATCATTTTGGGGGAGTAGCTTTAAAGGACAGCGGTCGTGTTTCTTCTCCTTGTTGTGCAGTCTGTAAAGCCCCGTAAGACACATGTTTAATTTGTGATATTTGGGTAAACATTTGATTGATTACATTTGATTTTAGAGAAACTGACTGTTCCAGCTGTTTGCCAGTTGTGATCAGTGTGACCCACCCTTGTTGTTGGATGATCCCATGTTCCTAGATGTTTCTTTAATTCTGGCATGCAGAGTTGCAACAAAACAAGACATGGTGTAGATTCAAAATGTATTATTTTAATACATACATATTATTATTATTATTATAACATATAGATAGAACTATATCAATAATGGACACGTGGGCTGGAGGTCACTCAACGCGCGGATCAGCGGATGACATTCACAGGCCTCAGACTCACTTCAGCCAGATGAGTTTGTCCCCCACATCTGCGTTATAACCAGCGACATACTTCTTCCCAGGGAGCTATGAAAACAAAACAAACAGTTAAACTTAAAGTAACAAAAAATGCTATTCTTATCTTAAATTGCGTTGCCTCGCTCCGCTCCGGGGGGGGGAATGAAAAGCTGGTTTGAGGGGCTCCCGGTGAATGTTTGCCTAGGGCCCCCACAGACTCTAGAATCGCCACTGTATGTGGAGATTATCCTGCTGAACAAAACATGTACCTATCCTAAAAATGTGTTTGCCACAGTTCTCCAATAATCCTCAATCCAACATAAATATCCCATTGTTTTTGTCCAGTGAATGACATACAAATACCTCAATCACTTTCTCTCAATGCAGAAGTATTTTTGTACTTCGAATCAACTTATTTTAATTGAAATAGCCGAAAACAACTGGGTCACTTGCAGAGTTTAAATTGATATTTTCAACACATTTAATATGTTATTTATCAGTTAAATCATGCAAGTAAAGACCAAAATTAACCATTTACCTGCCACCATTTGCAAAGGGGATACTTTTAGGGTCTTATTAAATGTTTTTTATAAAGTTAATGTAAACTGTAATAGATACTAAAAACAAAACAACTCAATCACTTTTTCGCAGTGCCAGTATAATTTTAAATAATTTGTTTTAATTTAAATAGACAAAGAGCATGTAATCAGGATAATTGGGTCCCTTGCAGAGTTAAATATTATATTTTCAACACGATTAAATAAATGCATGTTTGTTATTCAAAACAGCAGAAAGACTCACTTTTGATAGCTTATTAATTAGTTAAATTATGCGAGTAAAAAACATTTGGAAAGGGAATACCTCAGATTTCTTTCATCTACAAGTCACATTTTTCATAAATGCAATGAAAGCTGTACTAGAATAGTGTTGCAAATGTCCTTCCATGACTTTACTCTGTCAGCTAGAGTGTGCGGGGGGAGATTACGTGCCAGTTCTCATTCTCTCACTCCTGAGATCCAGGCTCACAACTAAATGTCAGGTCACAGCCTCCTGTAGAATTGCAGCCTGATTTTTTTGCAGCAAGGGGAGACAAAAAAGTCTCCTGTCAATAAACACAAAAGGTCAGACCCAAATGTTTCCCTGCATGACTGATGATACCGAAAGCCTTGTAGAATATTCCATATCTGGCATTTGCCTTTCTTGTAAGTACGAGTTGTTCAATATTTCAGCGAAAGGAAAGGAGTGCCATTACACTGACAGGACTGCCCAGGCTTAAAGATAAAGGGTAGAAGTATTCAATATAAAAAGGATGATGGGGGCAAAGGCAGGGTTCCTCTGTGTTTTATTTTGTAAGTTTTAATGAATTGATCATCACAATTATGGAACCTATCCTCAGATAATTACAAAACTTGAAACTAAAGGGCAACTAACTCCAGCAGCACAGCTAATTAATGTGACCAGCCAACAGCAACAAGTGAGTCATTAGGGACGTCCCCAGCTGATCTGTGGGATCAGCAGAACAACCTCTTTTTTAATTAATCTGTATTGGCTTTTACAAATACTTCATATTCTTTGTTTACTGTGAACTATAGGCAGGCCAATAGGGTAGCAGATATTAGTTTATCGAAGTAGTAATCAGCAGCGAACCGCTTCAACACGTGTATTTCGGTGTATTCACGGCATTCATTTTGTTATTCTACAGTATTGTTGTTTTATAGTTATTTGTTAATGTAACCCAATTTGTGTTCTTTGAAATTGAAAAGGATATCGCATTGTGTTTGTTACTTTCGTTGCAGTTGTATAGTCTTAAGTGTAATTTGGCTTGGCTTCCTATTCATGGTTATGCTTTTATTTTGAAGGAGAGTTAACAGGAAGTTAGACAGGAAGTTGTTGTTGCTTTGGAAACAACGTGGCGGAGATTGTCACTACCCGATCTGCAGCTCTGCCCGATCTGCAGTGCGCATGTGCGAGATGGTCCGCCATATTGGACAACTCCGGACGGCAACCCAAGATGGACACTTGACACAGTGGCTTTTAGCAAAGCTCAAAAATAAAACGAGAGAGAGATGAGTTATTGATATGAGTTATTGTTATTACAACGTGACTTCACTATTATTTAACAACTCTTTTTATGGGGTTCTTTTATTTGGGGTTAAGTACATTGTCAGAATAAGTGAGAAATGAATTGAACTTCTGTTAGACAGCTATCATACTGAATACATATTTACTGCGAATGTGTGCAAAAATGTATGGCATATAGCTGTCTAACAGAAGTTAAATTCATTCCTCACTTATTCTGACAATGTACTTAACCCCAAATAAAAGAACCCAATAAAAAGAGTTATTAAATAATAGTGAAGTCACGTTGTAATAACAATAACTCGTCTCTCTCGAGTTTTCCTTTTGAGCTTTGCAAAAAGCCACTGTGTCAATGTTGTCCTACTTGGGTTGCCGTCCGGCGTTGTCCAATATGGCGGACCATCTCGCACATGCGCACTGCAGATCGGGCAGAGCTGCAGATCGGGTAGTGACAGAGATAAACGGAGAAAAGTAATATCTAGGCTACATATAAATACGGAGAAAGTCAACGATAACGTTTATGGTTAAGTATTAGCACCCCCCGAAGAGGCACAAGCTCTTACATTGATATTGGAGATTTCAATCAATTCAATTTGAGAGAAAAAACGGGGGAAAAAACGAAAAAACAAACAAAACGAATATCCGAATAACGAAATTGAAACCCGAATAGTACTCCAACGAACGAATATTCGGGTACAAAGACTACTAAATGTCGTCACGTCATTAGCCACATTTAGCTTAGCAGGTACCGTCATCTAGTTCTTTATAGCGTCACTTTAGCTTTTTACTTCTGGCATGTATGTACGGTGGCCCTGAAGTGCAAGACACCGCAGCATTTCAGAAAACACTACAGCATTTCAGAAAACACCACAGCATTTCAGAAAACACCACAGCATTTCAGAAAACACCACAGCATTTCAGAAAACACCACAGCATTTCAGAAAACACCACAGCATTTCAGAAAACACTACAGCATTTCAGAAAACACCACAGCATTTCACATTGGACGGAAAGGGTATTCCTTAGGGAGAACACTTCTTGTTTGTGATTGGACAGAGCCAGCCATAGAAGCACTGCTGTGATTGGTTGTTTTTGCTGCCAGTCAATAAATGACGCTTCGTGATTGGCCCAACACATCAGCCGTTAGCTGTTAGCACACACTCAGAGCTCACAGCTCCTCATATCTGTTCAGAAACTGGACAAAAGTTAAACATATACAAAACACAGACTGTCTGTGTCATGGCGAATACAGTCGCTGCTTTATGTATGTCTGTATGACGTTGTTGTGAGTGTGGACGGAGCAGCTACAGGTTAGTTTAGCCTGATCGATTTGATTCCGATAGGATTTAAATAGAGATACGGCCCGCCCCCTCTCCAGGAGTAAACACAGAATTAATGCTTTATTAATTCATGGTTTTTAAGGGGCTTATCTCCATGTAAATACTATGGTAGACTACTCAATATTCGCATCGCTCTAATCACTCGAGTTTCACAGCGGCTGTCAGCTGTGTTTGCTCCTGTCATTCAAACAAGACGCGCTGGAGAGGGGGCGGGGCGTATCTCCATGTAAATCCTATGGGAGATACCAACTACAACAAAATGAACATATTTGACCGTGATTTAATTGTAATACACGTTTCAAAGTGATGCCGAAGTAACAACATACTGATACCGGTTAGTAAAACCCATGAATTAACGCTTTGACAAGTCTGCAGACAAGACGGCAGGCGAAAAGCTTTTAAAATACGTGTTTTCTGAATGGAATCGGATCCATCAGGCTAAACTAACCTGTAGCTGCTCCGTCCACACTCACAACAACGTCATACAGACATAAATAAAGCAGCGACTGTATTCGCCATGACACAGACAGTCTGTGGTTTGTACATGTTTAACTTTTGTCCAGTTTCTGAACAGATATGAGGAGCTGTGAGCTCTGAGTGTGTGCTAACAGCTAACGGCTGATGTGTTGGGCCAATCACGAAGCGTCATTTCTTGACTGGCAGCAAAAACAACCAATCACAGCAGTGCTTCTCTGGCTGGCTCTGTCCAATCATAAACAAGAAGTGTTCTCCCTAAGGAATACCCTTTCCGTCCAATGTGAAATGCTGTAGTGTTTTCTGAAATGCTGTGGTGTTTTCTGAAATGCTGTGGTGTCTTGCACTTCAGGGCCACCGTAAGTATGCTTCGACTATGATAAAAGTGGTGGTTAATATGTGGAGATTAAGTACCTATCAAAAACGTGTGATTGCCACAGATCTTATTTTCTCCAATATTCCACAATCCAATATAAATATCCCATTGCTTTTTGTCAAGTTAGCCCTGGTAATGCTAACTTCTGCAAAAACATGTCGTCGCTGCACCACTTTATAGCAGTACTGACATACTAAAAGGTGTTTTATGCTTTATAGTGCATTTCCGAGTCTTCAGAACTGGACACTAAATTGGCTTGATGACACCAGACCACGTTCAGAAAATATCTTTGGAGAAATATCAGCATAAAGAAACCGCAAACACACTTTATACCAACACACAAGTAGTCGAAAAACAGGGTACCTTTATGGGGTCATATAAGAAAATGTAAGTGAGAGATTTCTCTACATACCGATTTATAGGCGTAGAACTTTTCGTCGTAGTCGTGGGCCCCGATGGTGATCTCAGGCAGGAACAAGGGGATGTGGGTCAGCGACACCACAGCATGTTTATCTTCCACTCTGTAAAACACAGAAACAGACAGCAAAGAAAAATCAGCTCATAGCAAACTTTGATGTATGCTGATCTATGGGTGGAGGAGAGCATATAAAAAGGCAATCAGGGATGAATCTGCATTTTGAGTCCTCGCCGTGATTCGTTTCAGGTACTTTACATATTTATCCATAATGAGTATGACAAGCTGAGGCTGAGATTGAGAATCCGACTTCACCTGTTGGAGGTCTTCCTCGGTGTAATTTGCATTTAAATGTGGAATTGATGTCATTAATCAAGAACTCACAGCATCCTCATGTGGTGGTAGGTGACGTCGTCCTGCTTCACCCACGGCTCTTTCTCACACTTCAGATACTCGATGTCTTCTGCCACCTGCACACAATAAATAAACGATATCCAGAAATAGTAAATCGATTTAAGGTATTAAAAATACACCCAAAACATTATCCATCCTCTACAATCCATCGCAGTCTTACCCTTTCAAAATCTAGGGCTTGGTTTGCATCGTAAGCAAGCAGTTCGGATGTTTCGCTAAAAGAAAAAGAACACAAGGATATCAATTATTCTCATGAAATTCGACACTGAGCGATTAGATATTCCTTCAACGGGTTAGTGCTCACATGATTTGGGGGAGAAATGTCTTCTTGTAGCCATCTTCAATGCTCTTCAGATATGACAGGGGCACGTTGTGAAGATAGGACTGAGAGAAAAAGAGAATTACAAATATATATTATAACACAAGCTAGATTAAAACACTCCAGTTTACACTCAACTTCTAAATTGTTATGAGTGTATCTGATAATCTGAAGTGTTAATTATTCAGAAAATAATCCTATATCATGTCTTCCTGAAAGCTAACATGCCTTGAAATGTACCAGTGTGTTATAGATCAGGGGTCGGCAACCTTTTCGATATGAAGTGCCATTACAAAAAAAAAAAATGTTATCAGCGTGCCGACGATCGTGAATTATCAACGGGGGGGAGCCTCGCTGCGGGGAAGCAGTGTGTGGACCTAATTGGTTTAAACGGCATGATAATAAGGACGATCGTCCGTTCTGTGATCCTCCAGAACACACATGTTATGATATTAGGGTCATGCAGAGTGAGATGAGATCGCTGTCCCTTTAAGAGAGAGAGAGAGAGGGGTGTGGCGTGTGCATGTGTGTGTGGATGGTAGAGCGACAGTGAGCGAGCGTGTGTATGTTTCTGGAAGTGAAACGAGGAAGCAGAAAAACAGAGGTCTGTGATGTATTTTGTGAAACAGAAGAACAGCTAAATAAATGCAACGGCCTCCCAAGAAGAGCTCGCCTCTCTCCAGTCATTTAAGCTAAAGTGGGTTATTGAACCTGAAGCTTGTTGCTTCTGCCCTGGGAGACGACAGAGTCATCCCCCGTTTCCTCGACTACGGTCTGGGAGCCGACAGGAAAGTTCAACACACAGATGGCCAGTCCGCCCCTTTGTAGCATATTATTTCGATGAGAGATGAGCAGATCGCCACTGGGCTTTCAACTAAATACACAGCCACGCAAAAACTGCGGCATTTGTACAGCTCCTTATGGGTACTGCAATTTGTGAAGTGCTTTCCTCCGTGGTGAAACGATCAGCACTGCACCACGGAGGAAAGCGGCAGAAAGTCGCCTGGAGTTAAAGAGAGCGGGGCTGCGTTGCGTGCATGGCTTCCTTCTGCAGGTAACGGGGAGACGCGCTTATTCCACTAATTCCTAGTGTGCCACTGGTTACGGTGCCGCGTGCCAGGGGTTGCCGACCCCTGTTATAGATGATGACACTCTGGTTAGAAGGGACAATGAATGTACTTGTGGGAAATAATGTTGTATCAGTTACCTTTATTCTATAAGTTATAGTTAATTCTGGTTTGTGGATTGTTGTTTTTTTTGTGTTAACTGCATTTCCCTTTCTTGTGTATGTCACTTTATCATTTTTTTTTTACATTCAGTATCCTGTGTTGTCAGGGTCTGCGTCTCACTACCTTGTCGCTCTGTTTCAGTTTCTTCTCCACCTCCTCAGCCGGCACGTCGATGTAGATGGAGATGTGAGGAGGCAGGAACTCACACAGGCTGATGTGTTTGATCTCATTGTAGTGCAGCACACCTGCAGGACAAACACACATTTAAGACCTTTGGAGAACAATTCGTTTTTTGCAAATGCACATCGTAATCAAATTTTAAAAATCTACAAATATTGTCAATAGTTTTTTTAAGTTGAGGCAATTTCAGAGAGAGGCTAAATCAGGAGCATTTGCCTGACTCTCTGTTGTTAGTGACGTAGATACTTACACTCCTTCCTGATGTATCCCTGTTGCAACATGGCGTCCAAGAACACAAAGTCACTGAAGGGAGAGCGCTCCAGGATCACTCCCTGGCCTTAAACACAGAGAATAAGCATGCATGAGAATGATTAGTACACTATAAATACTGTCATACTCATTTACAAATAAGATGACTTAAAACAAACTACTGTATCAGTGTTGTTTTGACCACATTTTCATTCTAGGGGCAGTAGTTGAGGAATAAAACATGTGTTGCATCTAAACTGTTTTAAAACTTTTAAACTATACCTGCCATATTGTAAATACCTTTATCTATACCCCTAACCTATATTCCACATATTTATAAAAAATAGGGCTGTCAAGTTAATGCGTTAATAACGCCCTTTTTTTTTAACGCCACAAATTATTTTAACGTGCGATTAACGCATGTGTATTTGTCCTCGGCCCGCCCCGTAGTTTCAGAGCCCAAAGGCTTGACGTTGTTGTTGTTAGTTGGATGGTGGGAAATTCTAGCAAGAGATATGGAATGGATACAAAAAAAGGTGTTTTAAACAACAAGCCAAGCACACAGCTGATGCTTGCGGAAGACCATGTTTGAAAGTTTGCCGGGGAGACGCCTGGACAACAACAGCAATAAGCTACAGCTTAACATTGTGGAGGACGAGGGGCTGCGTTAGATCATTCGGATCGCATCCAACGTGTCGACTGCACATCACAGCGCATTATTTTGACCCACAGTGGGAACTTCAGTCTCATGCTTTGTCTGAAGATGAAGACAGAGGAGCGGCATTTCGCCGACAACTGTAAACAGGCTTGCCTGTTTGAGCAACTGGCTCAGTTCAAAGAAGTACACAGGGTTGAGAGAGAGAGAGAGAGAGAGAGAGATAGAGAGAGAGAGAGAGAGAGAGAGAGAGAGAGAGAGAGAGAGAGAGAGAGAGAGAGAGAGAGAGAGAGAGAGAGAGAGAGAGAGAGAGAGAGAGAGAGAGAGAGTTGTGTTGAGAATATTCAGGAGAATATTTGATGATAATAAACAAACATTTGCATAAAGCATATTTGTCCACTCATATGTTGATAAGAGTATTACAAACTTAAAAAATATTCCTGTAAGGTACATTTTAGAACAGATACAAAATGTGCGATTAATTTCAATCCCCATATACTGCACATATTTTGTTATATTGTTATTGTATTGCCTTTTTGTATATTATTATATATTTCTTGTCAAGAGACTTTTTATTTTGTAATATATTTGCTCGTAGTTGATTCAATAATATATCTTACTGTGTTCATGTATGCACCATGATAATGATACACCAAAGCAATCTCCTTGTTTGAATAGACCTACTTGCTAATAAATCCCCTCTCCCCCTCTACCTTTGCCTCATCGGTGCTCTCAGCCCTCCCTTCCTCTGACTCGTTCCAACTCCTGCCTCCAAACTCTGCTGCAGAAACTCTCCTCTCTACTCTCTCATCCACTCTGGACTCTCTCTGTCCTCTCACATCTCGGCAGGCTCGTCAGTCTCCTCCTGCTCCCTGGCTAAATGACGCACTGTGTGCTAATAGAACCATCCTTCGGGCAGCTGAGCGGAAACGGTGGAAATCCAAACACCATGATGACCTCCTAACCTATCAGGCTCTCCTCTCCTCTTTCTCTGCTTCGATCTCTCAGGCAAAAAGCACTTTCTTTCAAGATAAGATCCAATCTTCCTATTCCAATCCCAAAAAACTATTTTCCATCTTCTCCACCCTCTTGGACCCTCCCAAAGCCCCTTCCCCCTCCTCCCTTCTGTCAAGCGACTTTGTTAACCACTTTGAAAAAAAGGTTGATGATATTCGCTCTTCTTTTTCTGACTCACCTTTACTCACCGCTGGGTCACCAGACCCTCCTTCCACCAACACACTTACCTCCTTTTCCCCTCTCTCTCCAAGTGAGGTTCTTACCCTCATTACCTCTGCCCGCCCTACCACCTGTCCTCTGGACCCTATCCCTTCAAACCTCCTTCAGACTATCGCTCCTGATATTCTACTGTTTCTCACCCATTTCATCAACACTTCTCTAACTTCTGGTCACTTTCCAAATAGTCTTAAGGAGGCAAGAGTAAACCCTCTCCTAAAGAAACCCACTCTCAACCCGTCTGATGTTATAAACTACAGGCCTGTCTCTCTCCTCCCGTTCCTGTCTAAAACACTTGAACACGCTGTCTTTAAACAACTCTCCTGTTATCTCAATCAGAACAACCTTCTGGATCCGCACCAGTCTGGTTTCAAGGCAGGTCACTCCACAGAAACTGCTCTCATTGCTGTCTCTGAGGAACTGCACACTGCCAAAACTGCATCCCTCTCCTCTGTCATCATCCTTTTGGACCTGTCTGCTGCATTCGACACGGTGAATCATCAGATCCTCCTTCGCACTCTCCAAGAACTTGGAGTTTCAGGCTCTGCACATTCCCTCCTCACCTCATACCTCAAAGACCGCACCTACAGGGTAACTTGGAGAGGGTCGGAGTCCTTCAATTAACTACAGGGGTCCCTCAGGGCTCTGTTCTTGGTCCCCTCCTCTTCTCCTTGTACAGAAACTCGCTCGGATCGGTCATTAGCCTGCATGGTTTTTCATACCACTGCTACGCTGACGACTAGTGCTGGGGGGAAACGATTATTTTGAAAACGATTAATCGGGCGATTATTTGATCGATTAGTCGACTAATCTAACGATTATTTTTCTGTTGTTCAATTCATAAAAAACGTAATGTAAAAAAAACGTAATGTAAACAAAAAAAATGTCACGATACTGTGTCTCAGGGGATCTTAATATTTAAGAACCTATTAATGTGTTATACCAGATTAACGGAAATAATCTCAGCTAACTGACGATACAAACCATGTTTACCAAAACAAAACACAAGTCTCACAAGAAGCATCTAAATGACCCCTGAGCGAAAAATGCTAACGGACATTGGCACAGAACTCAAGATAAAAGTACCCTTATTACTTATCGTAGCTGCACATACAAGATATCCGATTAAAGCTGAGACTCCACGGATTATGTAGGTATATAGTATCATCACTGAGTGATCCGGACTCGCGACAGGGGAAGCAAATACAGTCATCACAACACGTACCTTCACAGAGCTTCTAGGGAGATCGTCTCACAAGTAGCTGTCAATCTGATCAAAAGACGTGTTCAATGGCATTAAAATGAGAAAAAACGCGGCTGAATCGGTTAATCCATAGGTTTTTAACGTCTATGTATAAAAAAATGATTTAATTTATAATCCATAATTCCATTTTATGTAAAAATCGGAGAGCAAATGCTAGCTGCTAATGGTAGCCACCACAGCTAGCTGCTGCTTCTGCTAGGCTATGCAGCAGTCTCAGTGAGATATAAATATATAAATATTAGGGCCGGGACTTTAACGCGTTAATTAAGATTAATTAATTACACAAAAATTAACGCGTTAAAAAAATTAACGCATTTTAATCGCACTTATTTTTGCACCGCGGAACGTTTCTCACTGGATGAGTTTCAGGCGTACCGATTATACTGGAGCACCAACTAACGTTCATGACTTCAGACAACAACAAACCACAGTGAACAACAGTGGGAAATGTTGTTTTAAAAAACGGACGGATGGAAGCGTTGATAAGAGCACGGTTATGTGCAAATTATGCAAAAAGGAATTCGCATATCACCGCAGCACATCAAGCCTCAAGTATCACCTCAATGCAAAACATATAGCAGCTAGCGTGGAAGCTAGCGTGGACGTTAGCCTCTTTTATCGCATTCACACCAAAAAGAACCGGTACTAAAATTAGTTCATGAGAACCTTTTTACCCCCACGAAAGTCCCTGCTAGAGAGCAGAGAGCTGCTAGAGAGCAGGGGCTTTCGTACGGCTCTCTTGTGAGAAAAGAGCTATATGTCTGATTGGCTGGGCGGATTGCAAACCACGCCCCGTAAAACTCGCAAAAAGTTTTGTGAAGCCGCCATTTTATTATCCTCACATTAGCATTATTAGCATTAGCCCAGCGCAGAAACGCAGAGAGACTAACTTATGGCAACACAACATAAAACATGGGAGCGGTGGAGATGAGGAGGTGTCGGCGTTCTGGCGATTTACTCGGAAGGCTTCAGTAGAAGCTGCTGGGAGTCCCAGCAGCTTCTACTGAAGCCAGTCCCCAACTCCGGGGACTTCCGGCCGGGGACTTTGGGCGGCAGTATACGCCGTGAAGTGGTTTGCGGCCTGCCAGTAAACCCAAAGCAGAAGAAGAAGAAGTGACGTCAGCGGCTTCATTTGCCTAATCCACCCCCAGGTTCAAAGAGTTCTCATGAACTAAGTTCTCATGAACCTTTGTGGGAAAAGTACTGCGGTGTGAATGCGCCTAATGGTATACTAAAATCCATGTGAAAAAAATTGCTTCTCACTGTTCTTAGGTCAAATATTTATATGTGATTAAAAATGCGATTAATTTCGATTAATTAATTAAAAGCCTCTAATTAATTAGATTAATTTTTTTAATCGAGTCCCGGCCCTAATAAATATCTTTGCGTTTTGGACTAACTTTAAAATATTCCCATGCTTTTGAAGACCTAGGGCGAGATGTTTTCGTTTGGGGGCTTCGTGCGCAATCCTGTGAGGAGGAGGTGGTAGCCGTTTCAGTCTCCATTGTGTTTGAAGTGCGATTGCGAACTGCTTGTTGCTTTGGGTGACCCACGTGTGTGTAGCGACCATATATACAGTCTATGGTGGCAACGCGTCGACGCGGAAATATGTCGTCGACGATATTTTGAAGTCGACGCGTCGCTACAGCACTACTGACGACACCCAATTAATTCTGTCCTTTCCCCGCTCAGAGACCCAGGTCGTTGCACGCATCTCTGCTTGTCTAGCTGACATCTCTCAGTGGATGTCTGCTCATCACCTCAAGCTCAACCTTGACAAGACTGAGCTGCTCTTCCTCCCGGGAAAAGATTGTCCCACTCTTAACCTAGCAATCAACATCGGCACCTCAGTTGTTTCCCCGACTCAGACTGCAAGGAATCTGGGTGTGACCCTAGATAACAACCTGTCCTTCACTGCAAACATCGCTGCTACAACCCACTGCTGCAGATACACGCTTTACAACATCAGGAGGATGCGTCCCCAGCTGACTCAGAAAGCGACGCAGGTTCTGGTCCAGGCTCTCGTCATCTCACGCCTAGACTACTGCAACTCCCTCCTGGCTGGTCTACCTGCATGTGCCATCCGACCTCTGTAGCTCATCCAGAATGCAGCGGCTCGTCTGGTCTTCAACCTTCCTAAATTCTCCCACACCACTCTGCTCCTCCGCTCCCTTCACTGGCTTCCGGTGACTGCTAGAATCCACTTCAAGACACTGGTACTTGCTTACCATGCTGCGAATGGATCTGGCCCTTCCTACATCCAGGACATGGTTAAACTGTACACCCCAGCACGTGCACTCCGCTCTGCATCAACCAAACAGCTCGCTGCACCATCGCTGCGAAGGGGACCCAAGTTTCCATCAGCAAAAACACGTGGGTTTGCTATCCTGGCTCCAAAATGGTGGAATGAGCTCCCCATTGACATCAGGACGGCAGATAGCTTACACACCTTCCGGCGCAGACTGAAAACTCATCTCTTTCGACTCCACTTCGAGCGATAGAACTATTAACAAAGCACTTTTATACTAATAAAGGACTGGCTTACCTAAAGCCAGTTGAGTAGCACTTGAAATGTTTGGCTCTATGAAACCTGATGTACTTATATGATTCTGTTTTCTTCAAGTTTGTATTTTGTTGGTCGAACGCACTTATTGTACGTCGCTTTGGATAAAAGCGTCATCTAAATGTAATGTAATAAACCAGATTCTAAAATTCGCTACATCAATGTAAATGACCTAACTTTTGCACAGGAAACTAAATCTCTAAATGTCAATGATACCTGTGGTGAGCATGTGTTCGATGGCGTCTGCGTACTGCAGCAGCCTCATGTTGTACATCCACAGCTGCAGCCTGTAGCTGTTCCCGTCCGCAGCTTTGGGATCCGTGTAGAACTTCTCCAGGCTGCACATCCCGTTGTAGACCACAGAAAGAGGCTCCTTCTGCCCGGTCATCCTGTCAATGTAGTGGTTGTCCACCTCCGGCATGTACAGCATCCCTGTAGATACAGAAATACACTTTATTGTTTTCAACGCAAATACTGTCCATGCCATCTTTACGTAAAAGTATCCAAGTTATTTGCCGAGTGAACTTTTTATCCTCATAACTCCCATTAGGACAACCAGTTGCATCAGCTCTATGCATCACATTAATGCACACAATATCTGTATATTATTATTCCACATAATTTATTCTATTGCATTGTAAATACTGCTATATTTTAGTATATTTGTAATGTTATTATAGTTTTCTTATAATATTTCTCTATCTGTGTTTTTTTATTTTAAATTGTATGTATGCACCACGACCCCAAGTCAAACTGCTTGTGCGTGTCAACCTACCTGGAAATAAACCTGTTTCTGAAGTAATTATACCACAAAAACATGCAGAGTAATCCTTTCAAAGCAGTTATGTATATAGGAAAGCCTGTGAATAAATAAATTGGCTGACTGATAGCGTCAATATCAAATTATCAAAGATATATCAAATTCCTGGTAGGCAAGCATCACAGTAAGTTTTCAGCAAATGTAGCCCCCTGATTGAGAAAAGGTTTAGCCTGTAAGTGCCTTCTCGGTCTCCTGTATGACTGTAACCCTAAAGGGAATCACTGATCTAAAAGTTGATCCTAACAGTGAGATAAATACCCAGTGTGTCAGCCAGCTTGGAGGCCAGAGCTCCTTTCCCTGAGGCCAGGTTTCCATCCAAGGTGATGATTTTGCTGGTCGACGTTAACCGTGGCGTCGTCCTCTCGCCCATAAAGTAGGTCAGCCAGCCGTACTTGAGGCTCCTCGCTGAGCTCGTGTGAACACCAGCCTGGATGACAGAGACAAAAAAACATTGTAGCACTGACCAGATCCAGATTATTTCACAGAGATTCCCTGCATCAAATGTTGCCTGGGTCCAAAAAAAAACAACCTGTTTCCTAATGTACACTACTTTGCACAATTAACTCATTTGTGAAAATGTAAACTTACATTTGTTTGAGAATATGACATATAATTTCAACTGGCATATTACAGGATTGAAAACTAGATATAACCCAAGGAGTGTCATAAGTTAAGGTCAAAGGCCCAAACAACCATCCGGACTTTACCATTTCCATTTGTATTACCGCAGTACAATCCTAAAGATATGAAGTTTGATATGATATAAAACAGAGAGGAGCAGGAGAAGTCCTCATTTTGAGAAAGCAGTATTTTCGGCCATATAGGAACAATTAATCAAATATATTAATATATTTCCTCTGCTCAGTTGACTAATCGTTGAAGCTCTATTAAAGACCAATCGCCAGTGTTGAGGTGATCAGGCTAATGAGAACTTTAACTGGTCAAATATGTGGTTAAAAGTTTAACATTTGGCCTCATCAACCATGGGTAGCTTTTTAAAAAAATGTATTTTAGCAGGAAGTCTCATTGAGATCAATTCACAAGAGAGACCAGGCAGCTGTATAATCACAACACATTATGCAACATGACATACAAGAAATACACAAGAACAGCTGTAACATCTGGGTAACCACATGCCTCCAACAGCTCATTCTTTACGTTGCCCTAAATTCATAAATAGATTACAATGTTTATAATTTTAGATATTATAGAACAAGTGTATAGCAGGAAAAGACAGTTGTCCTTCATTTGAATCGTTGTGATTTATTGCACACATGTCGCTTTGGATAAAGCCTCAGCTAAATGTAATGGATCTGTCAAAACCCCAAATGCTACAGAGTTAGCTGGCAGTAGCCTAACCAAACAGCAGATTGAACACCGTGAAAGCATCAATAAAATATAATTTAAAAAGTACTCATATGCAGTCCCATTAACAGCTCATTGCCTTTGCTCTGAACTCCAAACAAAATCATTTCAATAACAAACCAGCAGAAAGCCTGTTGGCGAGCGACTGTTATGCTAGCAGCTAGTTAGCATCCTAGCCTAGTTAGCTTGCCCTTGTGAACTTGACAGGGGAACAAGGAGAAATGAGAGTTTCTGTGTTTCTGCCCTCACCTTCTGTGAGATGTGTGCAGCTCTAAGAGCAGCTGCTCCCGATGGGACGATCTGTCGGATCACCCTCAGGGCCATGATGAATAAACTGTCCTCCAAAGACCCTCCGACCTGACCCGAAACAAACACAGCTACCGGGCGACTAAATAACACGTCAGAGGGAGAGTGGGGTCTTTACATGGGGGTGTCTCATGTATATTTCGTATGAGTATGTCTAAATGTTGCCTGAATAATGTTTTTTTAAGCAAGTGTTTATATGTGATCAACCAAGTATGTCTGCACTTGCAATCATTGAAATAAGGGAATACAATTAAATAAATAGATGTTGAACATTTGAAAATTAAGCAGCACTTATTTGCAGTTTGTCTCAATATTGCCGGAATAAATATATGTATTATTATATATTATGTTTACTTAATTACAACAATATGGCACCACTTTTAAAATGAGTAAAGATAAGAAGGCAATCAGAGCCAAGTGTATTTGATAAATATTTAACTTAAAATGTTACCTTTTTGTTTTTATCACTATTGTCTTGACATATCTTACATATATGCAAGCTTCCCCCAAAGGAGTAACTCAACTAATCAATAGTGTCTTTAATGCATGCTTAATCTATTCTCATATCATTGTCAGGTCCCGGTAACCTTTAATAGAGATCAATTGCATGCTGTGTGTCTGTTTTCACACCAGCAGGTGGCAGTATCCATTTTTATTTAAATACATCCTGCTTTCCCACTGATGTCAATCCCAAAACTCTCCCAAAAAAAAGGCAGTGATACGTTTTGAAAAGAAAGTGCTAGTGTTAGTTGTACTTGAGTATATCTATATTACTACATTTTGGAGGGAAAATGCTACTTTTGACAGTGATTTAGCATATTTACTTACAACGGACTTTGCAGACAAAAATTATGATTACAAATTAAAATCAACACATGAATAAGGATCTATTATTTTCTGACTTAACTACACAACAGTATAATTATGACACACACTAGCACCAACCTCTCAAAGATGCCACATTAAAGCAATGAACACATTCATAAATACATAATAATTATCCATTAATACAGTATAATAAGCAGTTTTAGTCACAATGATTAGTTTAACTTATGATACTTGAAATACATTTGCTAATACTTCTTTTAAGATCCGAGTTGTGCTACCACCACTGTCAGGTTTACAAATGGTCTGGTTCTCAGACAAGCCCTTGTGATTTCATCCTCATGGTTTGAGAGAACAGCTAAAAGGCTTAGACCAGGTTCATGAGATAAAAGCGATAAATAATTAAGTTAAATCTGTTCCTCACAAGAAATATAGGCAGCCATAACATTACACCACTGGAAGGGAAAAGTATCTCTGAGGTTGTGTATCTGAGGAGGTGAGCAGCAGGATTTAAACCACATTATCCTTTGAGATACAGCAGTATCTGGGGAGGAAACGCCCCCCTGAAGGCCCTCTTTGTTCAGCCTGTAGCAGCATGATCTCAGTGTCTTCTTTTGTCACTACGGCCCTGAATTCAGCATCTCTCCAAGGGGAAAACCCTCAAAGTAATTCTACAAATATGTCTGTTTCATCTTTATGACTACACTGCAATGTACATAATGTGCATGGTCATAACACAACAACAATCAACCAGCCTTTAATATCATCATGGCTTTGAAGTTCAGAGATGATTCACTATAGTGTGGTAGAGATGCTGGTGATAAGATCATGATAAGCTGTTATTGTAACATAGAGAAACAGTGTTGGGAGAAGTATTTGGATTCCTTAAACACACACAAAAATATTCAGAATAATTACAAAATTACTTATAATTATCTCTAGTTTATGAATCGACCTTGCTTTTTCTTGTGTGAACTGCAAGTTTACTTTATGACAAAATATCACATATACACACTTTTGTGTTTTATGCATTTAGGTAAATATGTGAAATACTTGTAAAGTGAAGTAAAAAATGACTGTATTTCCCTTTAAATTAAGCAGAGAAGAAGAATTAAGTGGCAGAAATAAAATAAAAATACTGAATTAAAGTTTCTTCCCACCACTGCAGAGAATGACACCAGAACAAATTCCTTCTAGTAATTACTTTGGTTTCACTTCCCTTATATTTAATCACCTTCGGAGGTTTTTACGTTTCACCCGTCCTGCACTTCCCCTCGCAGCTATACGAGCTCAATGCACTCACACCTGAATTCTCGAGACTTTACATAACGCCTCCAGTCTGTCAGCATGCAAGTGTGACTCACTGGCTGTTTCCTCTGTAGGCTAGGAAACCACTAATGTAAACACGGCTGACAGTGAACTACACCGCTTCATATTTCATAGGCCATTCAGTATGAGCGCTAGTGTTTCAGCTTCACACAGTCAACTCTGCTCCTACAAAACAGAGTGGCAGAGTTAAATGCAATTCAGCATGGCAAAGCACACAACACCAACAATGGCATCTCTTTTCACATGTATTTGTCATATTAACAGCTGCACCCTGTTCCTTTTACAAGCCTGTTTTAGACATAACACATTCTAAACACGCTTCATAATGTAGACTACTTGAACCTACTGAACTAAAGTCCAAGCACCAATATTTGCTGCCAGACCAGGGGGTTTAGTCCACTTCACAACATGACATGAAATTGATTATTTAGCCATTTGAAATGTTTCATTTGTAATGGTAAACACATGTTTGCAGAATAGATCAATAGATAAAGTCACATGGCAACCCTGGCTTCTAAAATATAATATAACACAACCATCTGCAAAGTTGCGTTATGTTTAAACTGATGTTATCTTCAAAATATTTGTTTTCCCTACAATATCCACTTAGGAACTCAATCATGTTTAACTTTCTCAAGGTTTTGTTTAGGAAACTCAAATCCTTGGTTTTGGTTTTGGAAAAGATGTTTGATTGTGGCTCAACAAGAGACTGGATGTGTTTACTTTTTACCAAAACCTGATATTTCCCTAACCAAAATGTTTCCATTGCCAAAGCTCTGGACTCTGTATCACCAACCCCAGCCCTCCCTATGACGTCTGTGAAGAAAATTACAAAGCAGTGAGTGAACGGCACGGATAAACTTTCCCTGAACGAATAACTCCTGTCCAAAAACATTTTAGGCAAAACTACACTGAAAAACACTGTGTTGCACAAGGGTCTTCATAATCAACAGGGTCTTAGAATGACAAAAGATAGATAGAAATATCTTATGTGCAAGCAGACATTTGAACCTGCTGTTGACACTTCGGGATTGTCAAGGGGTCACCAAAAACATTGTGATTCATCCTCTGGGGACTATGAATATCCAACATGTCAGTCAGGCTAAAAGCGTTCAAGGTTTCACTTGTTTTGGAGCTAGGGTCGGACCATTTTCGGACCATTTTCTATCTGTTATCAACACCTTTAGATATATTTTGTTAATTCCATGGATTAACAAGAACCTGGTAAAGAAGTTGACTTGAAGAGCAAAAGTACAAATACGTTGTTAAGTGCAAGGGCAGTGGGGGTTACTGTTAAAGAAAAGTATTGAACCATTAGGTCTTTGCAGCCGATGTTGAGAGATGACCTCACACACAGTTACAGGTAGAGCACCAACACGTTCCTGTTTTCCCATCCCCTCCCCCCCCCCCCCCCCCCGGAGGACCCAGAGTAATTAGTCAACAGTAAAACAACAATACTCCACATTCAGGTCTCACGGCTGCAGCCCTGTGAGGCCGGCGGAGGGGTTTGGCAAATCTATCTGTGCCAAATTTCCGCTGGTTTTACAGCAGGTTTTATTTCACTCCTCTGCAGTTTGGACTGGTTTAACAGTGCCAGCAGGGAGGAGGCTGCCTGCATTGTTTTTCATTAAAACAACTCAAAAGCATGGCAACGCAAATAGCAGCTTACATTTTCTGCCCAACTCTACACCTGCCTTATAAACCATACTAAGGAACCTACAGCAGCAGTTTCATGATCATTGTGACTTTAGAAAACAACCGGTATTCCAGCTTCTGATTATATTGTGTATCTGTAGTGCATTGTGGACTGGTGTATTGTTAATTCTCTCTGATATATATTTTAGAGGCTATTTGTGGCGTATTCAAATCTGAAATGGGCACCAGCGTTTCAAAGTCACTGCTTGATTGACAGCTTGTGGCTCATGCCTTGAATCATTTCCTGTTGTAGTAATTTATTTTATACTCAAAGCTAAACAAGTATTGTCAATGTTAGAACATGATGTTACACAGCGTCTTATGTGTGAGAACAACACAGCAGAAAAATATAAATAAAATGTTTTACCTAAGATGCTGTTGTTGCTCTGATTGTCTGCTCTGATTGGTTAGCTGGCCGGCTCTGTTGTGATTGGTCAACCATTTAGAGATGTCCCTCCCTTCGCCTATACTGTACATTTTTTTGGCCAATGGAAGTGTGAGTGTTATAGTGATGTCACTATAGGTTACAGAAGTAAGCCAAGTTAAGTGTTAAGATGTATCCTTTAAGTCATTTATCAATCAAAAAAATTGCCAGTACAGCTTTTGAACTTCACTAATTATTTCCGTTGTCTTTATAGCAAACTTAATATCTTTAGCTTTGACATCACCTTGGATGATAAATTGATGGATGATGTCAATAATCAGCAGTTTAATGCAGCCCAAGAGCCCCATGTTTCAGGGATGTAAAAGCAATAAGGGGAAAGTGAGAACCTCTTTGTGCCTCATGAGAAGAAGCAGCAGGTGGCTCAATGTCAATTAGAGGAAGCATGGAGTGGCTGTCTCCTAAAAATATACTGCTAATTTGCAGATTAAATGTAATGACCTCCAATTTGTGTATCATCACAGTGACACATGAGGATGCCACGTCCAATGTGAAAGGATATATATATCTTTATATTTCCCGTAATTTGTTTTCCATCGAGATACACCCTAGGCGCATGATGGTTATTTTAGTCAGCTTAAAGTACTTGAGGGCATTCTTTTCAGACTGAGCACTGAACTGGGCTCATGATTTCTCTTAGTGGTAACATAGAGTTTGAGTGGACACATACAGTATGGAAAAACAGGATTTCAAAACATGACTACTGTGTGTTTGTATGTACTTCCTGTTAAGGGTATATGTGTCCTGTGCCTTTCTATCTAACTTACTGCTCTACTTTTCCTGACAGTGAGGTCCCTCACTGT